TGGTCGCAACCAGCCCAGACTTGCACGTATCATCCGTAACACTGCTTTGCGTACGACTCTTAAAGCCAAAACTATAGCCATTCAGCTGGAGCACGTAGCCCGTTACTGATCGCTTCGCGTCCTGACAATTAGCGTGATCGGCATCGGAAAATGCCCGCAGCTGTAGCTGCTCTGGTGGAATCGCCTCAGATCTGTGATACACCAATCCAAATTGCTGCGTACCCCGAAGGTACTGCAACACGCGTTTAGCGCTTGCATTATTTTCTTTCGTGTCAGCACCAGCATGTCGACTGAGAATTCGTACCGCGTTCGCGATATCTGGACGCGTACATGTGACCAAATACTGCAACTTGCCGACAATTTCCCGGTAGGGAATTGACGCATCGTTGATCTTGGCACTGCCGCGCTCCAATGGTTGCATTTTCTCGTTGTACATCTGAGGTGACCCAACAGCACGCGCCATGTTCATGCCGAAGCGCTCCAGCAGTTGATCAATGTAGGTCCTTTGCGACAAACAGAGCACCACACCAGGCTCGTAGTGGATCTCCATTGACAGCAAATGCCGGACTCGTCCCAAGTCCTTCATGACAAACTTAATCCTCAATGTCTCGACCACATCATCGATATCACTAGATTTTCCAACCACCATCATGGCGTCGACGTATACCGTCACCAACACAATTCTCCCGTCCACATACTTGACATATAGTCCCACATCATGTGCACAGCGCCGGAATCCGATCTCTTCCAAGTGCGCGTGCAAGGTCTGATACCAGATTCTCGCGGCCTGCTTTAGACCATAGATGCCCTTCTTCAGCAAGCATACCCTGCCTGTACCATCATCAAAGTACGCAGGTTGCTCCATGTAGATTACGACTCCGCGCAGCCAGCTATTCAGGAACGCGGTTTCCACATCAACGTGTCGGGCATCCAGAGCAAGCAGCAATGCCAACAGCAGCACCAAAATCATTGTCACGAACCGTACAACGGGCGAATACGTATTCCAGTACTCAAATCCATACCGCTGCTTGAGGCCATGTATCACCAGCCGGGCCTTATACCGAACAATGTTTCCGTTCTCGTCGCGTTTCACACTTTGTCGTGAGCACCTTGACCGGCTTGTCATTTGCGGACTTCAGTCGATCTACTAGGATCCATGTACCATTCTTCAGAAGCGAGTCAAACTCTGCTTTCATCGCAGCTTTCCATTCCTCTCTTTGAGGTGACCGCATCGCTTCCTCCACAGTTTCTGGATTCCCAATAAACTGCTCCTCTAGCGTCAGCACATAACCACCTAACCTCACATTAGTTGCCCGGTTCCTCGTCGAGCGCCGTGCTGGCGTGCCATCATCGTGCAACCCACTATGCAGATTCTGTTGCTCGCGTCTCGCCCTGCGCCTCGGCTGTCTACGATTTCGGGCTGGTCCTACTGGTTGTGCGTCTTCAATTGCAGCGCCCATCTCCGGAACCGATTCAACCTCTAGCTCCGACACTGCTACTTGACGACGTTGCTCCCCCTAAACCAGCGCTGTCCCAAGACATCATTTCACTGTCAGGAGGCAAATCATCATGCACCACTCGATTTGCTTGGCTCAGAGTGTCTTCCTTTGCGACATACCCGACAGGTAGAGGCACAAACGGTATGTGCTTGTTGTTCCTTGCGTACCCGATAATACCGCAATCACATACGCAAGACTGACCGTAACATCCTCACGAAAGTTCACATCTCTTGCTTCCACAACTTCTCCAGTTCGTAGATGCAACATACGATATCCCAGCGACAAGCGTGCAAAACCCAGCAGCAACGCTGGTTCTGCCTTCGGACTCAACATTGTCTTGCGTTTTGCTTGGTGAACAAACCCCACTGAACCACACACACGAATCTTGCCTACATTCGGTTTTCTGCCAAGCAGCTTCTCGGACGGCGTCATGCCGTTAAGAGCCCGGGTTGCGCTCATGTTATCGATATCCACAACGTACTGAAGTACTTCCGGCCACAACCTGTTGGGGAGACTAGCAGCATGCATTGCTGCACGCATTTTATTCACAAGTACCCCATTCAGCTTCTCCACCAAGGCATTTTCTTCCGGCGTATACGGGTGCGTCGGGACGAACCAAATCCCACGTGCTTCAAGAAACAACTTCATCTCCGTATTCACAAACTCGCCGCCTCCGTCACTGGTAAACGTTTTGATCCGATTTTCCTTGTGCGAGCAACTCAGTCATCAACTTGATCGTGTTCGCGTTCGCATAACTCTTCTTTTTCAGGGGGCAACACCACTTGTACCTAGAACCTTCGTCTTGTATCAACTGGAAATTGCGGATGCCTTTCCGCCCAAGTAAATACTTCCCCATATCTCACGTGTCCGACATGAGCTGCTCGTAATTCATCTTCGTCCGCTTTTCTGCAGCACTGTTCTTGTACAATCTCCGCTTTTGCTTCGCTGACATACAAGTAAAACACGAGAACTAATTCTTGAAAAACTCCATAGGAATATCCATACCCTCCACAGTGCCGTTCTCCACCATGTGCTTGATTGCCGCCACGTTCAAGTGCCCCAGGCGCTCATGCCACTTCATCAATAGGCTTGCGTCCGCGTTTACCGCCATCATATGCCACCTGTTCTATTGCTGCTTTACTACCAATGGTTCTTAGCCAATAGTGCTTACCTCGGCGGAAGAATTCCAGACGTTCACCACCGCGATCTAGGAAAGCCTTTCTCCCCTCTTCCTCCGGGGGATTAGGCAACCAGCGCCATCCATTGTGCTCCATCACACCTAAACTGAGCAGATTGGTTGTTCCGTGCGGGGAATACTCCACGTTCTCTAGCTGAACTTGCAAGGTGGGTTGACCTTCAGGTATCAGAAACACAGTTCCCGACATCACTCGCTTCGTGACTGCACCTGTCCAAACCTTAAACGACGCCCTCGACTTTTCTCGCTCGAATACATGCTTCGGTCACAGCACACGTGCGTCGTAGTGCCGGAATCAAGCATCCATTCACTCGGACTACTCGCGCACACATTCTTCTGCACCATCCCAACCATCTCTTCGTCGTCGCTGCTGCTACTATCGCCGTTGTTCAGCCACTCCATATGCTTGATCACGCTCGTTCCTCTGGCAGCCTCCCCGTCCTTCTTCGTCGCCGGTGCCGTTCCTGCTTTGGTCTTATCTGGTTTATCCTCCTGAACCTTCTTTGACTTGTTCTTGTAGCGCCAGCAGTCGCACCGAAGATGCCAAGGTTTCTTGCAATAATAACACTTCTTGAATGACTTCTTAGCACCGCCTTTGTTACCAAACGCACCTCCATTACCTGTGCTTCCGCCGCGTCCACCGCCGCCACCAGCAGGTCCATTAAAGCCGGTACCACCCACATGCATTACAGCACTCGTGGACTTTCCTGCCTGACCAACCATTCGATCGCGTTCATCCCGCGACCTGAGCGCATTTGTCACCTGCTGGAGCGTTGGCGGGTTCCCTTGCCGTGTTGACAGGTCAAATTGCTCAATCAGCTCCCGGTGAGTCATAGCCACACCCATCAGCAAAAGACACGCCATATCTGCGTCCGATACAGCATGTTCGGGCCCCATGTTTCTCAACTGCTGCCTCAGCTGCGTCATCGTGCGAAGGTACGCTTCCATCGACTGCTCCGCCCGATGCGTGCACTGATACGATTGGCTCCGTAGCAGCATAGCATACGAAAAATCACGCTGCGTGTGATCTGACACCAACGTATCCCACATTTCCTTCGCCGTCGTCATCCCGCACACCTTCGATGCGTCATTGTTCTTACATCCGTGCAATCCTCGCAGGATAGCAGCCTTGGCCAACCGGTCCCTCTTGTCAAACAGTACTTCCCGGGCCTCGTCCATGGCGTGACGTACTTCAACGTCCGTAACCAAGTCCCACAACTCCCTCTCACCCAGGTACAGCTCCAACTCGGCTTGATACAACTCAAACGACCCTTGAAAGAGAGGAGGCTTGGTACTAATGCGTAGTTGAGGCTGCGTCACGGCTGCGGCAGTGGCTGCATCGTTCACGGCAGCTCCGCCACCATTCCCAACGGAGGCAGCAACACCAGAAGAAGCACTTCCACTCGTGCTTTCAAAACTTATTTAACTTGACTTGCCCACTCATTCGCACGTAAACTTGGGCTCATAACCTAGCAGCTTTGCGCTGAGAGAGAGTGGTAAACCGAGGAAAGAACACTTGTGTAGTTGATAGCAAAACTCAGAATACATTCACAGCTTAAGCCGTCACGTGCCGAGCACGAGGTAGGAAATCATCAAGCATAAACCCTCATTTGACCGCACACGCTATCCATCGAGCTTGCGAGTCTATTCCAGCTATACCAGGACACGACCATGACATGAGTGACTAAGAGAGAGACTGATTGACCTTCTGTTGGAAACCCTCATACCTTGCTTAAGAAACTCAGCCCTGATGCTCCAGCAGTCAAGCGCATCGACGCATGCGTCCTTCACAGAGGCAGTCCATCGGAGAATTGCTCGTCGTTGCACTTGGTATGCGTAGCATCACCCAGTGACAAACCAAGCAGCAACACCAAAGCACAACCAACCTTTCAAGACGACAAGTAAACCGAAGGCTCCAGCGACCATTCGACACCAAGCCGCTGTCATTAACCATTTAATCCAACACGCACATTGCCAAGATCAGCACATGGAGCGCGCGAGGCCAAGCTGAACAACGATCATATGCAGCCTCCAAACTAGCGCCACCACCACGACATTGCAGAAGAAGCTGTCAGTGAGCCCAAGAATAAGCAACATCGATCATCAGTCACTCACCTACATACTACGTGGTTTGCTTGGTGCGCGCAGGAGCCAAGGATGAGACAAGTACCTATCCCAAAGCAGCAGACGTCCGATGTCAAGCTGTTTGTGGCCTTCATGAAACTCTTCTTGGGCGACAGCTTCCAACTTGACACGACAGCGCATAACTACCGCGATCAGGACTAGACGGAGTAGGCATCCTTGCATTTTTAGCCGAGCAGAAGATCACATCACGCGGGTCAGTCGCCGTCCTCAAGTACCCTCCAATGCTCGGGAGTCCTAAACAGGAGGAGTTAGAACCACCAGCGCCTGCTCCAGACAGCAGCAATTAGGACGTACTGGGGGTAGTTAACAATCCATGTAAACAACAATAAAACAACCGCGGGATAACAGCGGTTGAAGTCGAACAACATTCTGAGGGCAAGACCCTGCGCTCTATCTATTGGGCTACACTGTCATACTGGGAGGGAGAGTGGTGGTGGTGGGGGGGGG